CTGTTATTTGGTTTTTCTCTACAAAATATTTGCTATTATGCTCATGTCAAAGATGAAAAGATGGAGGCTCAGTTACATGATTTGCTCAATATCGCCCAATGTTCGTTGTTGTTGTTGCTAGGTACCTTTGAGTCACAGCACCCATTTGCACAACAGATGGAAACATTGCCCAATTCTGTGGCTGCCTCGCAATTATTATGTTTGAGCCCATTGCTACTGCCACTGTCAGTCCATCTCACTGTGGGTCTTCATCTTTTTTGCTGACCTTCCCTTTACCAAGAATGAAGTCCTTCTCCAGGGATCCCTTGTGACAACATGTACGAGAAACAAAGTCTCATGATCCTTGCTTCTAAGGGGCATTCTGGCTGTACTCCTTTCAACATAGAGTTGTTTATTCTTCAGGCAGTCCACGGTACTTTTAATAGTCTTCTCTAACACCATATTTTAAATGCATTAATTTTTCCACGGTATTCTTATTCATTGTCCAAATTTCCCATACATATGAGGCAACTGAAAACACTACGTTTGGGTCAGGCACACCTTAATCTTCAAAGTGGCATTTTTGCTCTTTAACACTTTTAAAAGGTCTTTTGCAGCAGATTTCTTGAATGTGAGACATCATTTGATTTCTTGATTGTGGATCCAAGCAAAATGAAGCCTTTGACAAATTCATTTTCTCCATTTATCATGATGTTACTTATTGATTCAATTGTGGGAATTTTTGTTTTCTTTACATACATATGCAATCCATACTGAAGGTTGTAGTCTGTGATCTTCATCAGTAAGTATTTCAAATCCTCTTTGCTTCCAGCATGGAAGCTTGTGTCATCTGCATATTGCACTTTGAGAATGGCTGTTCCTTCAATCCTAATGCCACATTCTTCCTCAAATAATCCAGTTTCTTCTTCATGTAATCCAGATTATTTGCTCAGCATATAGATTGAATAAGTATGGATAAAGAATGTAACCATGGTGCACACCTTTCCTGATTTTAAACCATTCAATAGCTCCTTGTTTGGTTTTAATGACTGCCTCTTGGTTTGTGTACAGGCTCCTCAAGGCACAATTAAGTGTTGTAGAATACCCATTCTTCAGATTCTATCCATAGTTTATGATCCACACAGTAGAATGCCTTTGCCTAGTCAATAAGACACCAGTAAACATCTTTCTGGTATTATCTGCTTTCAGCCAAGATGCACCTGACGTCAGCAATGATAGCCTTAGTCCCATGTTCTCTTCTGAAGCCAGCTTGAATTTCTGGCAATACCCTGTTGATGGACTGCTGCAACCATTTTTTAATTGCCTTCATCACAATTTTACTTGCATGTGATATTAAAGATATCTTTGGATGATTTCAAATTCCACTGGGTTATCTTTCTTTGGAATCGGCATAAATATGGATCTCTTACAATCAGTTGGTCTGGTAGTTGTCTTCCAAATTACTTTTCATAGACAAGTGAGAGTCGTCAGTGCCGCATCAGTTTGTTGAGAGATTTCAACTTGTGTTCTGTCAATTCCTGGGGCCTTGTTTTTCATCAATGTCTTCAGTGCTGCTTGGACTTCTGCCTTCAGGACCATTGGTTCTTGATTATATGTTACCTCTTGAAATGGATGAGCATTAACCATTTCTTTTGGGTACAATGGCTCATCCTTTTTTTATTTAACTTTTTATTTTGAATTGAGTGAAGGTTTACAGTTATTATCAGTTTTACATTTAAAAATATATACTTTGCTTAATTACAATGATTGCAATCCCCTCCATGTACAGTTAATAGTATTTATCTCTATTCACTTGAACTATTTCATTCCTCCCTGTGTCTCCTGCTACCTTCATCTTTCCTCTGCCAATCCCCTCTTGTTGTAAATTGCTTGACTTTTCACCATGTTAACATATCTACCCTCAAGTCAGTGAATAATTTTCCCTGGCCCCTCCCATCATTGTTGTTGTTGTTAGGTGCCATCGAGTTGGTACCAACTCATAGCGACCCTATACACAACAGAACAAAACACTGCCTGATCCTGGGCCAACTTAACAATTGCTGCCACGCTTGAGCCCATTGATGCTGCCACTTTGCCAATCCATCTTGCTGGGGTCTCCCTCTTTTTCTCTGACCCTCCACCTTACCAAACATGATATCCTTCTCTAGCAACTGGTGCCTCCTGGCAATATGTCTGAATTATGAGACACAAAGTTTGGCCATCCTGGCCTCCAAGGAACACTCTGGCTGCACCTCTTCCAACACAGATCTATTGGTTCTTTTGGCAGCCCATGGTACTTTCAATATTCTCCTCCAATACCATAACCAAAAGCACCAATTCTTCTATGGTCTTCCTTATTCACGGTCCAGCTTTCGCATGCATATGAGGTCATTGAAAATACCATGGCTTGGGTCAGGCACACCTTAGTCCTCAAGCTGACATCTTTGCTTTTCAACACTTAAAAAAGGTCTTGTGCAGCAGATTTGCCTAATGCAATACTTTGCTCGATTTCTTGACTGCTGCTTCCATGAGTGTTGAAGGTTGTTCCAAGAAGAATGAAGTCCTTGACAACTTCAATTTTTCTTCATTGATAAGAAAGTTCTTTATTGGTTCGGTGGTGAGGACTTCTGTTTTCTTTATTTTGATGTGCAATCCATACCAAAGGCTGTGGTCTTTATCTTTATCAGTAAGTATTTTAGGTCCTCTTGATTTTCATCAAGCAAGGTTGTATCATCTGCATATTGCAGGTTGTTAATGAGTGTTCCTCCAATCCTGATGCCACATTTTTCTTCATATAACCCAGCTTCTCGGATGATTTGTTCAGCATACAGGTTGAATAAGTATGGTGAAAGAATACAACCCTGTTGCATATCTTTCTTAATTTTTAAACCATTCAGTGTTCCCATGTTCTTTTTGAACAACTGCCTCTTGGTCCATGTACAGATTCCTCATGAGCGCAATTAAGTGTTCCGGAATATTCATACTTCACAATGTTGCCCATAGTTTGTCAAGATCCACACAATCAAAGGCCTTTGCATAGTCAATAAAGCATAGGTAAACATCTTTCTGATATTCTCTGCTTTCAGCCAAGTTCCACCAGACATCAGCAATGGTATCCCTCATTCCAAGGCCTCTTCTGAATCCAGCTTGAACCTCTGAAAGTTCTCTGTCAATGTAGGCTTGCAGCCATTTCTGTATTACCTTTAGTAAAACTTTACTTGCATGGGATATCAAAGAGATTGTCCGATGATTTCTGCATTTCATTGGGTCACCTCTCTTTGGAATGGGCACAAATATGCATCTCTTCCAATCAGTTGGCCAGATAGTTGTCTTCCAAATTTTTTGGCAGAGATGAGTGAGTGTCTCCAGTGCCACCTCACTTTGTTGAAAGATTTCAATTTATATTCCTTCAATTCCTGGAGCCTTGTTCTTTGCCAATTCCTTCAATGCACCTTGGACTTCTTCCTTGATCATATGCTACCTCTTGAAATGGTTGAACATCAATCATTTCCTTTTGGTACAGTGACTCTGTGCATTCCTTCCATCTTCTTTTGATGCTTTCTGCATCATTCAATCATTTCCCCCAAGGAATCCTTCAATAATGATAGATAAGGCTTGAATTTTTTCTTCAGTTCCCCTAGCTTGAGAAATGCTATGTGTGTTCCTCCCTTTTGGTTTTCTGACTCCAGATCTTCACACATTTCATTACAATCTATTATAGGCATCATAGATTGTTTCTTTTATCAAGAAAACCTTTACATAACTGTTTACAATATTAGCCTATACAATATTTGCCCTTTTGTGATTGACTGATTTCACCCAGCGTGTGGAACTGTGGGTCAATTAGCTGGACAGCAAGGTCAGTTTGAATTTCAAGGTTGGCAGTTCAAGCTTACCAGCCACTTCTCAGAAACCCTATACAGGGTCACTATGAGTCAGAACTGATTCAACAGCACTTAACAACAACAATGTTCTCCAGGTTCATCTACGTTGTTGGGTGTTTCATAGTTTCATTGTTGTTTTTCAACATTGACATAGTATTTCGTCATGCATATATACCAAAGTTTGTTTAATCATTTAGTTGATGGATATTTAGGCTGTCTCCATCTTTTTAATGTGTCTCTTGTAGAAAACATATTAAAAGATTCTGTTTTCCTATCCATTCTGCTCACTTTGTCTCTTGATTGGTGCATTTAATCCATTTATTTCAGTGTAATTATAGATAGGTATTAATTCACTGCTGTCATTTTGCTGTGTTTATTGTTTGTGTTTTGTTTTGTGTGTGTGTGGTGCTGTTGGTTTCTTTGTTCCACATAATTTTCTACAGTGAATTCATTTTGCTTGTGGATTTTCTTTTCATTTTCATTTCTGTTGTGTCAAGGTTAGTAAATCTATCTGATGTCCCTCTTTTTTGTTTTGATGTGAAGGTGTATTGATTTTATTTGAGGTTACCCTGTAATTTATTAACTTTTCCCCCTATTTAAAACAGTCTGTTTTATCTTGAATTCTGCTTGATTTTTTTTTTTTTTTTTTGCCATTTGGAAGTTCTATATCTATGCTATTTTCTCTTTTTTGTGTGTGGTTGACTTAATTATAAATTGATATCTCTGGTTTCCTATTTCAGTCTTGTAAGTTTGTTTTACTTTTAATACTTCTCTATCTGGATTAAGTGCTGGGTGGTGTTGTCATGTCTGGTAAGTTCACATTGTTGTCTGTGGTTGTTGGTTCTCAAACGGGGGAAATAAAGAGGGAAAATGAGAAAACAGAAGGAAAAACAAAAGTGGAAGTGTTGTTGTTGTTAGGTGCCATTGAGTCAGTATCTCATAGCACAACAGAATGAAACACTGCCCGATCCTGGTCCAACCTCAAAAGTGAAAATAAAAAGGGTAAAGTAGAAATAGATAAAGTAAATAGAAAGGATAAAATTAAATGGAATGATAAGAGAAGGAGAAGAAAGAATTGACAAACAAAAACAATGAAACAGCAAAAGAAAAAACAAAACAAAACAAAAAAAAACCAGTGCAATTGCTGGAACCAGATAGGTGGTAACAGATAATTCTGGAGGGATCCTGCAAGCCTAGGAGCTCACAAGGTGGGTGTGGGAGGGATGTGACAGCAGAGTTCCTGGTCCTAGATGGAGTTCCTGTAGGCCTCAGTGTTATTTATATTTAGGGCACTCAATCTGGAAGTAATTCATGGAGGCCCTTAATGGAGCTGATTTCAGTGTCTCTTAAGAGGCAGGGTGACGGACTAAATGCTGGTTTGGTGGCTATGCAGGTTCTGTAGTTCTGAAATTAAGCTCACCTAAATCCAGGTCCTAAAGCAGCGTACCAAAATGGCACAGCTGGCCCTTGCTTCAAACTGGCGTGGCTCCCACCTAAGTGCTCCAGCTTCCAGAGAGCACTGTCTCAGCAGGGAATGGATGAGGGTAGGGGCTGGCCACTCCTTTGATCACCAAGAGAGTGTGGGGAAAAAGAAGGAATCACACCCTTCCCATTGCCTGTGTGAACCTGCTCCACAAGGCTACCTCTGTTGCCAAAACTGCTCACAAAAATTCAAGATGGTCATGCCGTGTCTGGCTGGCCACTCACCAGTCAGTCTCCCCTCTTCACTTCCTTGCTCAGCTTCTTCTCCCAGCAAGCACTTAATCCACTTCTCTAACCTTTCCTCTGAAGTTCAGGGTTCCAGAATTTCCATCTGTGCCTGTTTCATTTTTTCTCTCATATCTTTGTTGTAGACGGTCCTTGTAGTGTGTCCACCTAGTCCACCATCTTGCCAGAAGTCTTTTCTTCCATAATCTTGTGACGTTTTCTGCATCATCCAATATGTTGGCCAATATTGCAACTTAAGGCTTGAACATGGTCTTCAGTTCTTTCATCTTGAGAATTGCTGAATTTATTCTTCCCTTTGGATTTTCTAACTCCAGGTCTTTGCACATTTCATTATGATACTTTACTTTGTCTTTTCGAGCTGCCCTTTGAAATGTTCTGCTCAACTCTTTATTTCCTCATTTCTTCCATTTGCTTTAGTTTCTCTAAGCTCCAGAGCAAGTTTCAGAGTCTCTTCTGACATCCATTGTGGTTTTTTCTTTCTTTCCTGGATTTCTAATGACCTTTTGCTTTCTTCATTATGTGCTGTTCTTGATTTCATCCCATAATGCATCAAATCTGTTCATGCAATGGTCTCCAAATTCAGGCAGAACATATTCAAGGTCATATTTTGGCTCTAGTGGACTTGATTTTCTTTACCTTCAGTTTGAGCTTGCATATGAGCAATTGATGGTCTATTGCACAATCCGCCCCTGATTTTCTTTTGGCTGATGATATTGAGCTTCTCCATCATCTCTTCCTACAGATGTAGTTAATTTGATTCCTGTGTATTCCGTCTGGTGAGATCCACGTGTTTTATATTGCTGAAAATGGCATTTGTAATGAATTAAGTCATTGGTCTTACAAAATGCTACCATGCAATCTTCAGCACCATTCCTATTACCAAAACCATATTTTCCAACTATTAACTTTTTCACTTTGTTTCCAACTTTTGCATTCCAATCACCAGTAAATATCAGTGCATCCTGATGGCATATTTGATCAATTTCAGACTGAAGAAGTTGGTATAATTCTTCCATTTCTTTATCCCTGGCTTTAGTGGTTGGTGTATATTTTGAATAATAGTGATATTAGCTGGTTTTCCATGTTGTTTTTAAGTGCTGTGTGTTGGCTCTGACTCATAGCAATCCTGTATAGGATTTCCAAGGAGTAGTGGGTGGGTTTGAACAACCAACCTAGTGGTTTGCAGTCCAGGTTATCCTACAGAACCACACCAGGGCTCTGGTTTTCCATGTAGGTATATGAATATTATCCTATCACAGACAGCATTGTACTTCAACATAGATCTTGAAATACTCATTTTGATGAAGATCGTGAAGCCATTCCTCTTCAAAATTTGTTGTTTCAGGCATAGTAAAACATATGATTGTCTGATTCAAAATGGTCAATACCTGTCCATTTCAGCTTATTAATGCCTAGGATACCAATCTTTATACATCCCATTTCATTTATGATGACTTCTAAATTACCTAGATTCATACTTTGTATGAATCTGGTGTAGCGCTGATCCTACATGAATTGGGAAGTGTATTACATCTGTATAATGCAATCATAGTAGGGTATGTCTTAGGCTGCTAGCCACAAGGTTAGCAGTCCCAACGCACCAGCTGCTCCATGGGAGAACGATGAAGATTTCTGCTCCTGTAAAATGTACAATCTCGGAAATCATATACAGAGTCTCTGTAAGTTGAAATCAACTTGACGGCACTTAACAATATGCAGCTTTTAGAAAATGTTTGCATATATTAATGTGGAAAAGTGCCCACAATGTATTCACTGGGGGGACACATCAGTTTTAAAAACAGTTTTCATCAGATAATTTTATTTTTGTAAAACTGTATATCTCTATTTATATGAAAAATTCCTAAGACTATTATATTAAAACCTCAATTAAAAGTGGTGCTTTTAAATTGTGATTTTCTTTTGCATGAATATTTAACTGCATGTATAATTCTTATAATTTGATGGGGAAAGACTCATTTGTTTGGGGGTAAAATGTACCACATAAAGATTGCTTGATCAAGATACCCTCTTTGGCCACTTCCTATCACACATTTTCGTGATTTTATAGAGTTGATCATTATTCTGACCAAACATGAGCTACTTTGTCATGCCATCCTAGCATACCAACTCTTCTACTTTCTTGGGATGCTGCAGGTTTATGGGACCGTCTTCCATATGAACCAAGGAAATCCTTTCAAGCTAAAGGCCCTAGTGGACAGTTGGCCAGATTTTAATACAGTTGTTATTCGCCCCGAGGAACAGGTAAGGTACAAGATGTGGAATGAGTATGCTTTTGAGTTCTTATTTTCTGTATGCTTACCTGGCGCTGTGGGTTCATACGCCAGACTGCAAAGCCATTTGAACTGCAAGGTCGGTGGTTCAAGCTCACCAGTTGCTCCTAGGAAACCCTATACAGGGTCACTCTGGGTCAGAACCGACTCGACGGCACTTCACAACAACAAAAACAGTGAATTGGCAATATGGTATACCTTTGGACTATAGGAATGAATCAGGGTGACGGGAAACAAGTCTCTCTCATCAAGAAGTTCATGGCCTGAAGGAAAAGATAGGTAAGCAATACAATATGAGATATGCAAGAACGAAAGTATACAAGATACAGAATTAGCCCACAGGAAAACTGATGCAAAGTATATGTGGGGAAGGTTTTGAGAGGGTTAGAGAAACTTCTTGGTGGAGGTTTCATCTGAGCTTCATTTTGTAAATAAATATATTTTTGTCAGATTGAGAAGGGAAAGTGAACATTCTATCCAGAAAAAGTGCATATATGTAGGTATGAAACAGCACAGTGTACAGAGCAAAATTATAACTCAAGCATTCCCACAGACATTTTGGATAAATAAAATTAGTAAAGGTAAATTGTTGATATATTTCAAAAACAAAAATTCTCAAGCATATTTTAAAACATCAACTAAAAATATAAGATTATAAAAATGCTACTAATACAAACAAAATTATTTAAAAATTTTAAAAATGATATATAAACCCACCAACTCCTTGGGAACCGTATACAGGCTTGCTATGAGTCAAACCTGACTTGACAAAGCTAACAACAACAATAATAAAACTTAGAATAATCATATTATATAAATTTTTATTTTAGATGTGTCCTGAGGAACAAAAAGTATCAGTGGTATCATTTCTGACTTAAAAAATATATATTTGTGTAGAATTTTTTATAACTACATTGATTTTATGCTAATTGAATGAATATTTTTCTCTGCCTCCTTCCTTCTAAGAATCACAACTTTATTCAATAATTTTGGGGAATCTTTCTGAATAAGTGGTTTGTTTGTTTTTCGATGTAACTATGTGTTTTTATAAGAAAGCTTTCCTAATTGATCTTCATTTTCTTTGGTTTCATTATTCATGTTACTAAGTGTTTATAGCATTCTGTTGTACTTAGGTTTTGTGAACAACAGAATGAAAGCATGCCCCAGGCATACGTGACCCTTTTGAGCCCGTTGTTGTAACCACTGTGTCAATCCATCTCATTGAGGGTATTCCTTTTTTTCACTGCCTCTCTATTTTATATTTAACAACAATAAAAAGCATGCTATCCTTCTCCAGGGACTGGTCCCTACTGTAACATGCCTAAAATACTTTAGATGAAATCTCACTATCCTTGCTTCTAAGGAGCATTCTGTCTGTACTTCTTCCAACACAGGTTTATTCATTCTTTTGGATGAATTGGCAGACCCTGGTATCTTCAATATTCTTCACCAACACCACAATTCGAAAGCGTTATTCATTGTCCGGCTTTCACGTGCATATGTTACAATTGAAAACACCACGGCTTTGATCAGAAACACTTTCTTCCTCAAAGTAATGTCTTTGCTTTCAAAACTTTAAAAAGTTCTTTTGCAGCTGACCTGCACATCATTTGGTTTCTTGGCTGTTACTTCCATGAATGTTGATTGTGGCGCCAAGCAAAATGAAATCCTTAAGAACTTCAATCTTATTTCTGTTTATCATACTGTTGCTTATTGGTACAGGGGTGAAATTTGTGCTTTCTTTACATTGAGGTACATTCCATACTGAAGGATAAGCATTGAACTTGTAACCACAAGGTTGGCAGTTCAAGCCTACCAACTCCTTGGAAACCCTATACAGGGTTGCTATGAGTCAAAATTGACTTGACAAAGCTAACAACAATAATAAAAATTAGAATAAAATTATCTTTGATCTTCATCAGTAAGTGCTTCAAGTCCTCTTCACTTTCAGCAAGCAAGGGTGTGTCATCTGAATATCGTAAGTCATTATTGAGCCTTCCTCAATCCTGAAGCTGCTTTCTTTTTCATAGAGTCCAGCTTCTCAGATGATTTGCTCAGCATATGAAAATTTAATCCATATTTACTCTATTGTTCATCATCTGTGTGTTCTGCAGGGATGTGATCTATTGTCAAGTTCATTCTTTAAACAGAAGTTTCCTCTTGTCAGTTACTCTTATGGTCTTCCTGTAGAGGATTGTGGAGATCTAGAAGAATGTGTTCTAAATGCTTGTGTCTTTGACTTGAAGTTTTAATGTAATTTGTGTAAATAACAGCATCGTGCTACAATTTTCAATCATAAATTTAACACTTGAATTTCTCATGTTGCTCTCATGATTTAATTGGTTCAGAAATAATGATAATGCACAAATAAAAATACCAATTTTTTTTAATACTTTAAAATGATCACAGTGTAGTAAAATTCAAACACCAGCGATGCAATCATGAAATCAAAGGGAATTGATTTATCCCCTTTCCCAATGCCAACAGGAGATGACAGATGACCTTGACCACTACACCAATACTTACCAAGTCTACTCCAAGGACCCCCAGAACTGCCAGGAATTCCTCTGCTCACCAGATGTCATCAACTGGAAACAGCATTTACAGATCCAAAGTGAGAGGACGGCAAGTGTGCTGACTCACTTCTTTGCAGTGGACATTCCCCTCCCTACTCTGTCCACGATCCCCCTGCTTCACAAGAATTGTTCCTCCTTCTTACAAGTTCCAGACCCTCACCCTGCTGTCTATTTTTTATTTCTTTTACTCAACTACAATTATATCTATAAAGGAAAGGAAAAATAAAAGCCTCTAAGCTAGTTAATATACTAGTTTTCATTGAAGTGATTCCAACTCAAGGCAACCCCTTGGGTGCCAGAGTAGAACTGTGCTCCATGAGGTTTTCAATGGCTGATTTTTGGAAGTAGATTGACAAGTCTCTATTCTGAGAAACCTCTGAGTGGAGTTTCCACTAGTAGCTATACCATCCATGGAGCCCAGATTTCATATTGTTGTGTGCCTGTTGAGTTGGTTCTGATACACAGTGATCCTGTATAGGGTTTCTGAGGTTATAAACCTCTACAGGAGCAGGAAGCATGATCTTTCTCCCAAGCAGCAGCTGGTGGATTAGAACTGCCAATATTGCGGTTAACAACTCAATGTGTAGAGCCCTCTCTGCCAACAGAGCTCCCAAGGTTTCCTATATTGTTGTTGTTGTTGTTAATGACATCGAGTCAGTTCTGGCTCATAGTGACCCTATATAGAAGAGCTAATTATACTACCTTTTCTATATAGGGTCACTATGTAAAAGAGGTAGCTCTTCTAGATATAGACTTGACAGCATTTAACAACAACAACTATTACAATACCCAGATGTATATTTAGCTTTTGCTTCTCAGAAAACCCACCCTAAAAAGTTAAAACAATAATCCTTGATTAGCTCATTATTCTGTGAATCAGTAATTAGGTTGGGCTTTGCAAGGCAATTAGGTCTTGTGTTGGCATTCCTTGTTTTCCTCTGCTTTTGTGGTCACTGGTGAGTGGACAGTGGGCTGGTTGCTATAGCATGACATCACTCACAAGTCTGTGGAATGGTCTAGCTGTCAGTTAGTGTGACCTGTTGACTTTGGTGACAGGGGGTTGGGTCAGGTGTAGGCTAGTATGTGTAGGCTCCCAGGTAGCCTGGGATAGGCTTCCTCATATGGTGGCACTTTTAGGGTGGCCAGGAGCAGAAAACAGAGGGCAAGCTCCCATGGGAAAACTTTGTAAGTCCCTCATTTTATTTTGCTCCATTGGTGGAAACAAGTCACATGCCCAAATGGGCATTAGTAAATTATCCCAGGGAATGGATACCAGGTCTGGGCAAGTCGTGGACTAATGCTACTACAACGCACCATTTTGAGAAAATAGTGCCCATGGATATTGGCTACCATTTTTATAGCTCTTCTCATTTAATTATCAAAACTGCATGGTTATGCAGACTAGAAAACTTGGTTTACATCTTGGTTCTGCCATTAAAGGCATAACCATATCTGAATCAATCCCTGGACATGTTTTCACTTGTGTAAAACGGGGAAATTTGCATAAATGCTTAATGCCTGATGTTAAGGTCACACAGCAGCAGCGGCCCCATAATCAAGGTTTCTGAATGTAAATCCCAGACTCTTCCTACCCCACTGAGAGCTTCTCACTAGAACGTACTGAAGCAACTACATCTCTCCTCCTTGCCCCATTTAGGTTCACAGTCCAGTCTGAATGATGTGATACAAAGTCTTGCAGCCACTAAGTCCTGCAAGGTCAAGCACACACAGTGCTTCCTCTTTATGATGCCTGAGACAGCGAAGAAATTGGTTCCTTCCTTGCTGGATGCAAAGAACTTACCAGCCAAGGGTGGCAGAGCCAAGGCCATGTGAGTGTGATGAAAGCCATTCTGCACCACACATTGTCTCACTACTAAGTCACCCCTCTACTTCTTCCCCAGCTTTCAAGCTGTCTTATCCTTCCTGCTCGTTCCCTCCAACAACTCTAGCCTTCTTCCTATTCCTCTATCATCACATGTTCATCCATACTCCAGGACTTCACATTTGCTGCTTCCTCTGCCTACTCCATCTCTCAAGACAACTGAGGTAAGAGAAAATGCAAAACTTCATGAAAGCTATTGGCATCAAGTGGAGTGTACCTCAGGGAGACCCATGTGATGCAGAGTGGAGATCTGCTCCGTAGGGGTTTCTTGTTTTTTTTCCTCGAATGAAGAATCATACTCTGTAAACGTAAAATGTAGAGATTTATTGAAAGAGAGCTCAGACCAGCGAAAATTCACAGAGTGAAACTGACCATGTGCCAGACAAGAAAGAAGCAGGCATCCTTGTATAGTTACAAGCAGGAACAGAAGCTACAAAGTCATGACTGATTGCAAGATGACGATCAGGGTAGTCGAAGGAGGGATATATGAGCGCGGGGCTGGTGGATACGATACAGCATGTACACTTGCACCCATGTACCCATAATCACATGACTGATTACGGGTACATGGGTGCAAGTGTACATACTCATGCTCTGGGTGGGCACAGGACAGCCTTAGGACAGGGTTTTCTGGGGACCTATTATTAAGATTGCTTTCTCAAACGTATTTATTCCTGAAGATCCAGTGTATAGAATATGTATCAGTCATGCGGTGTGTCAAAGCTTTTCGGGCACAGAAGACAGCATCCTGTATCTGTTGACTATGTTGTTGTTAAATGCCAGCAATTCTGACCCATAGTGACCTTGTAGAGAGTTCCCAAGGTGCAGCTGGTGAGCTTGAACCACCAACCTTGAAGTTTAAACGACTTTGCAGTCTGACACATTAGCCCACAGTGCCACACCAGGACTCTGGTGACTATCTATAAAAATAATTGTGCCTTTCTGAATCTGCCAGACTACGAAGAGAAGAAGAAACACATTTCTTTTAGGATTAGGTTAGGGTTAGGGTTAGGGTTAGGGTTAGGTTAGGGTTAGGTTAGGGTTAGGTTAGGGTTAGGGTTAGGTTAGGGTTAGGTTAGGGTTAGGGTTAGGGTTAGGGTTAGGGTTAGGTTAGGGTTTGGGCTAGGGCTAGGGCTAGGGTTAGGGCTAGGGCTAGGGTTAGGTTAGGGTTAGGTTTAGGATTAGTGTTAGGTTAGGGTTAGGCTTAGGGTTAGGGTTAGGTTAGGGTTAGGCTTAGGGTTAGGGTTAGGTTAGGGTTAGGCTTAGGGTTAGGTTAGGGTTAGGTTAGGGTTAGGGTTAGGGTTAGGTTTAGGATTAGGGTTAGGTTAGGGTTAGGCTTAGGGTTAGGGTTAGGTTAGGGTTAGGCTTAGGGTTAGGTTAGGGTTAGGTTAGGATTAGGGTTAGGTTAGGGTTAGGCTTAGGGTTAGGGTTAGGTTAGGGTTAGGGTTAGGTTGCTGTTGTTGTTAAGTGCCATTGAGTCGATTCCAACTCTTAGCAGCCTTGTATAGGCTTTCTGAGGCATAGCTGATGGATTTAAACTGCCAACCTTGTAGTCTGCAGTCTAGTGCTGACCCATTGTGCCACTCCAGGAGTCCTTAGGGTTAGATTATGTCAGCCCAAAAGTTAAGAGAAGCTGGTGTCAGAAAAGGCAGCTTTAACAGTCAACATAGATCCCAGACATATGTCACGACCTACGATAGTGTTGTGGCTTTGTTTTCAGACTGCCCTAATGCCACTTCTAATTTTGTACTCTCATACCGCTATGATTTTAATGAAATCAAATTGCCAAGATTTCTTCTGCAATGCTCCTGAATGAGCTTAAAATTCCACCTTTTAGATTAGTAGTAAACTGTTTGTGTCACCCAGGGACCCTAAAACTTTCTGTTGTTGCTGTTTGCCATGGAGACGATTCTGACTCATAGCGGAGTTTTCTTGGATGTAATCTTTCTGGAAGCACACCACTAGGTCTTTTCCCCACAGAACCATTGGGTGGGTTTGAACTGTCAACCTTTTAGTGAGCAGCCGGGTGCTTAACCATTTGCACTACCAGGGTTCCTTATAAAACTCCACATTCATGACTTTTCTTTTCTCTTGGTCTCTCCACAGAAATCGAGAGATGTTTAAACTCTCATCCCTGGATGTCACTCATGCGGCCATAATGAATAAATTTTGGTCCTATGGTGGCAATGAGAGGAGCCAGAGGTTTATTGAGCGCTGTATCCGGACCTTCCCCACCTTCTGTCTGTTGGGGCCTGACGGGACCCTTGTGTCCTGTCCATGATGGACCAGACTGGAGAGCTGAGGGTGGCAGGTACTCTACCTGAGTTCCAGGCGCGAGGCCTCATTTCTCATGTCGTCGATTCCCAGGTCCAGGCTCTGGACAAACTTGGCTTCCCCACCTATTCCCACACAGACAAGAGCAACAAATTCATGCAACAAATGAGTCACACTCTGCAGCATGTCCCCATGCCCTGTGACTGGAACCAGTGGAACTGTGTGCCTCTGTGATGCTGGACATCAACACAGACAACGTTGGGGGCACTAGGCGTGTGGGTGGAAGAGCATGTAGGTGGGTGGGGAGAACATATACCAGTTGTAACCAGTGGTAAACGAGTGAGCACTGTTAGAACGCTGGGGAAAGCAGAAATGCATGGTGGTAAGCAGAACCATGGTCCCTGCCCTCCACGAGCTCATGGACTTCCATTTGGTTCCTCAGTATGAAGCAGGCTCAGACATTCCTCCAGTGGCCCCCCACATCACTTAGTGCCCCACATTTCCAGGATTGCTGTAACACTTTTCCATCAGCAGCATCCCTGGCTTCTACCTACTAGATTCCAATAGTATCCTCCCTCTCTGCACTGACAACCAAAAACACCTCCACACATTCCCAACTGTCCACAGGAGGCAAAACAGCCCTTGCTTGAGAACTACTAGTCTAGAGTTGGGGGTTCTCAAACTGGGGCAAGCATCAGAATCGTCTGGCAGGTTTTTCAAAACCAGATTGCTGAGCCCCTTCCTCAGATTTTATGCTTCTGTTCATCTGAAGTAGGGACGTAGAATTTGTATTTCTAACACGTTTCCAAGTGGTCCTGATATTACAAATCTAGAGATATCCTTTGAGATGTAATAACACACATCTTAGTACTATATGGAAGCTAATATACAACTCTGTTTAGGCACATTGGTTTTATTTTTGTAGTTATAATGGGAACTCTGGATTATAATGGGTTATGCATTGGGCTGCTAACCAAAAAGTCAGCAGTTCGAATCTACCAGCTGCTCCTCAGGAGAAGATGAAGATTTTTGCTCCCATAAAGAGAGTTGGAACCCACTGGATGGTACAGTACCACTACCACCAGCCCACGGAGAGTAGGACCCCCTGGCCTCGCTGCTAAAACCCAATTTCTGGGAAATAAAATAAATAAATAAACATCTAGATTGTGGAATTGTTTTGGAGTTCTGGTGTGGCGTTGCGGGTTAATGCACTGGACTGCAAAGTTAATTTGAACCACAATGTCCAGCCATTCAAACTCACCAGCTGCTCCTAGGAAACACTATGCAAGGTGGTTATGGGTCAGAACTGACTCGACAACACTTAACAGCAACAACAACAACAATGGGAACAACAACAACAACAATGGGAACTTGTGTTACAACTGATTTTTGATGTTATTTCACAAAAACTCTTTAAAATCTCTGTAACTTTTCATTTTGGTGGTTACAAAAGATTAGTCAGATTCATACAGTATCATATACTTAACCTTTTCTTGTTGGTGTACACCATGGCTTACTTTCTTCCATTTTTTTCCTTTTTTGCATTTTTCTTCTCTCTTCCTTCTGTTTTTCCTTTTTCCTCCCTCCCTGCCTTCCTTCCTGTTTTATTCTTTTATAAAATTTAGTTTCTTGAGAAAAATTCCCAAGTATAGAAATAGCAAGTTCAAAAACAGTCCACATTCTCGTAACTCTTGATTTCGATTTCTCCATGTTGACAGTATGAAAATGAATCTGTGAAATTCTCCACAGTTTTTTGTCATTTCAACAACAACAATAGGTACTGACTGACCACTAAGTGTGTGCCAGGCACCAATCTATGCCTTTGGGATATATCAGTGGACAAAACCAAGAGCTCTTGCAGAATTACCGATCCATGATCATTTATTAACAATTAACACCTTTTATTAACATCTGATGGTCTTTTATGATATTTCTATTAGAAAGCACTAGGATGATGTAGTGATTCTTGCTGGGAGGGTGGTCTGCCTTTCCAATCCCACCCAGACCACTTAAGCTGAGGTTTGGGATCAGAGCATTCTCTGATAAGCAGACTGGGAACTGGGTCTCACTTTCTTTCCCAGTATCTTCTTGTCAGATAAGTCTTTCTCATTGTTCCGAGCTCACGGTCACTTTCTCTGTCTCCGTGACTATCCATAACTCATTAACTGTGTAATCAGCTATATAACCTTGTAGCTAGTGGGGTATCTGGTCATAGGATGACCACGCTGTTTTCTCCTGAACAAACGCACCTTCCAGCTCCCAGCATTCTATGCTATTGGCATCTAGACAGAGACACCTTCCTCTTAGCCTCTTTCTCTTGCTTCTATGCAGTCTGGCACTTCGGTCCTCCTTTGGTTGTTATTAAATGCCATCCGGTTGGTTCTGATTCATGAGAATCTTGGATAAGGCTTCCAGGGAGCAGCTGGAGGGTTTTCACCACCAACCTTGTAGTTGGTAGTTCAGTGCTTATCCTACAATGCCACACCCAGACCCCACAGCCCTCCTACATGGGTTTATTTATATAAGCCCAGACCAGAGTTCTTCTTTGTACTTTTACCCATGACAGACACATTGAGGGCTGTGCATGGGAATAACTCAACAGTACATTTTAGGGAGTCCTGGTGTGGTACTATGGACAGCAAGGTTGGTTTGAACCACAAAGTTGGCAGTTCAAACCCACCAACTGCTCCTCAGAAACCCTATACAGGGTCGCTATGAGTCAGAACTGACTCCACAACACTTAACAATAATCACTAGGGTCGTTCTGGGAGACAGCGTTTCTTGATAAACTCTACTCCATCCATCTCGTCCTGGTTACTGTGAGTAATAAAATCTTATGGACTCACCAGTGAGTAGTGTGATGCTGTGTTCTGATACAAAGAGGACTGCACTGTTTGACTATCTCTCAGAACGTTGAAATTGTGTTTCTTTGTATGAGGAATGGGTAATAGTTTGGAACCAAGTTATAGAGTTCTAAGTTTACGATTTATAAATTAGACCTAAAAGGATTTTTTTACCAGATAAATGTCAACCATACATACATACATACTCAGGTGGCCTAGGATCAGAAATGTTCAAATCATCCTTTAAGACTTTCATCTCTTTTGGATGAAGGCCTGGGTTGGACACCTGAGGAAATGTCACTATTAATCAATCCAGTAGGCAGACAGCAAATGATCTCCTCACAACGTCTCCATAAAATCTACTGATTAGAGAACACCAGAGATAGATTTTTAAATCAAAGAAAAATATAGTCCCTGTCCTGATGTGGTATTGTAGGGTAAGCACTGGACTGCTAACCACAAGATTGGTAATTCAAACCCACTAACAGCTCCTCAGAAACCCTCCACAGAGTCGTTATGAATTGGAACCAGCACAATTAAGTGTTCTGGACTTCGCATTCTTCATAATATTATCCATGGTTTATTATGGTTCATACAATTAAACACATTTGCATATTCAAGAAAACACTGGCAAATGTCTTTCTGATCATCTCTGCTTTTAGTCAAGATTCATCAGACACCAGCAATGATATTCTTCATTCTACATCTTCTGAACCCAGTTTGAGTTTCTGGAAGTTCACTGTTGATGTACAACTGTCTTTGACTTATCTTCAGAGAAATTTTATTTGATACTCATGTATATAGAATTTTAAGATGGTAACACTTAAGATCATATTCTTAATTATTATGAAAAAGAAAAGTATTGTGGTTCAAAGTAAAAAAACAAAATTTCTTCAGTTGGGGACAAAAAAAAAAAAAAGGAAACACCGTTTCTAAATATTTCTTACTTGTTTCAATTGTTTATAGTACTCTGCCAATTTGGGCCCTCCAAGAAACACACAGTATTTATTGGGGGAAATTCCCGTGAATTATAAAGGGAAGAGGGAGCAGGAGCAGGCTGGGAAAGCAGCTCTCAACCTCATGAAAGGAGAGAGTGAAGGAAGGAGGACAGGTTAGGAAGAGATTCGGCTGGCCGCTGGTCCAGCTAAGAGAAAGTCTGAGCCAGACTGATGGGGAATCCGGAAGAGGCGCCCCGGCTCTGGCAGAGATGGCTCAGTGCTAACACCACTTCCATTGCTGAGAGCAGCCACGTGGGGAAAGTGTGAGCTTGGTCCATCCCAAATGTGCAGCCGCTGGCAGCTGTCAGGTAGCTCCTACACTCCTCAAAACAGGTTCTCCCTGCAAGAGAGATACAGCAGTGAACACAATCAATGTTTTGCTCTCAACAATAAATCTAAAGGTCAGTGGTTTGATCCCATACCATGGGGTGGGAAGAAAGGGCTGGTGACCTGTCCCATAAAGAATACAGCCAAGAAAACCCTATGGAGCAGTTACACTCGGTAGCACATGCTGTCGCCTTAAGTTGGAATAGACTTGGCTGCAACTAACAGCAACAACAACAAATGTTTTGAGTGTGGAAGGTGGTTTCTTCCTCTGATTTCACTTCTTTTCAATAGACTCCCAGACATGGAAATGCCGGGCTAAAGAAGGAGTGTGAACAATCCTATGGTTCTTACTACATGGGGCCAGAATGCCCTTCACAGGGACTTGGCCCAGTGGATGACTGCCAATTTGAACCCACCAAATTGTTCCTAATTGCTATTTGTCACTGTTAATTCCATGTATCGAGCACCAGACTGGCTGTCAAGGACAGGAAGTGAAGGGTTTGGGCACAATATACCAGGAAGTGATCCAATCAATCAAGGAAGTGGAGCCCTGCACTGTACGTATACTGTGCAAAAGGCAACAAGTGGACATTCAATCTCACAAATCTCACAAAATCGCCTAGTTTTTTTGCCACCAAAACTTTCTGGAGGAAGGAGCATCTCTTGCAGGCAACTCTTGTGTCTGCACTGCCCTCTGCTGGACAGAGATGCAGACACAGTGAGGAATAAGGGCCCCTCTAGGAAAAGACTTCCCCACGTACCAATTACAGCTTAGTGGCTAAGAAACGCAAGATGAGCGGTTTGGAACTACTCCACCCGCGGGAGCTTTCCTCTCCCTTTACAGGTTTTTGAGAAACCGACTGCCGTCCTATGCCGGCCCGGAACTACTATCCCGGAATGAGCCGGGACTATGACTATGAGCCGGAACTATACACACTTGTTGTCAGGAGTCCTGGTGTTGCGCTGAAGGTTGATGCGCGCCAGACTGCAAAGCCTATTTGAACTGCAAGGTCAGCAGTTCGAAACAACCAGCTGTTCTCCGCCGGAAAAAAATGAGGCATTCTTC